GAGGGGTGCGAGGTGGAGAACGCTTAAAAGATTCAGGGGCACTCGATTGAAAAAGTTGGCGAATTGCTGGGACTTCGTGCTCTGCTTACATGTTATGTTACTCGAAAAAGCTCTTGTAAAATGTTTCCAGTCAAAGCGACCCACTTTAATAAATAGTTGCCGCCCGCTCTGCTTATATCTTCTTCACAAACATATTTTAACCGTCTCACATATATGTGTGTAAACATATGTGTGTTTGTGTCTTTCCAAGGTCAAGCATTCGTAAAAAGAAAATTTCAAAGGGATTTTAACATCCTTTTCAAAATTTTAACATAATTTCAAAAAAAATTTTTCATTTTAAATATTTTCTATTTTAAATGCAAAACTTTAATATTTACTATTTTAATCCTCTGTCTCAGGGCTCTAACCAGTCAAAGTATTTAAAAGTACGGACTTTACGGACCAAAAATGAAAAATTACAGGACCAATTACTGATAAAAATATAACCAGTCCGAGTCAAAAAAAGAACAATTTACGTAAAACTAAAAATTTAATTTTTTCATAACTATAAAACATGAAAATATCGTTCACTCCCAAATATGTCCCAGCAATAAAATCATTACTTTATATTGTTAAATAATATTGTACTTCTTCAAAATTATTTTCATCATTTCAATTCAATTATTATTTTCAAAAATTCCCAACTAAAATTCTACTTTAAATCAATTATTTTTAATAATATTCGAAAAAGTTCTTTGACAATTTTCAAATCCATTTGATTACAATATTAAATTTTACGAAATTTCAATTACTCCTCAATTCTTCAATTAAATGCATATTCGAAAATAAAAACTTTAAATAATATAAAAAAATGCAATTAAAATTTTTTTAAAAAATTAATTTAAAAATTCAATTATTTCTAAAAATTTAAGCTATATTACTTTTAATATTCAATTATTAACTAAAATTTTAACTGAAGTTCTTTAAATCAATTTTTTTATTAGAAAATTCTACTAGAATTCAATTATTTAACTACAAAAATAATTTATTAAATAATTGAATGTTTCTTAAAATTCAATTCTCATAAAGAATTTTATCAACAAATTTGTAAATAATTGGATTCTTTTGACGAATTTTAATAACAGTTTTTAGAATAGTTACATTTTTCTAGAAATTTGATTAACCCTCGGAGAACACACCTCTTTTTTAGACCATTTTTTAAAGCTCAACCAATTTTAAACTGATAATCTAATCAAACTAAAGAATTTTTTTCAATATAGTTTAAACTCTGTAGAATAAGTCTGTATACTTGAAAATCCTTATTAAAAATATTTAAAAAAGATAAAAAGCTTTTCGTAAAAAAGCGTGTGGTGAAAAAGACCCCATGTGTTCTCCGAAGGTTAAAAAAATTATCTTAAAAATAATTGAAATTCTGCGATGAATTTTATTATCTGAAAAAATAATTGAATCCCTAAGAAAAATTTTATTATTTGAGAAAATAATTGAATCCCTAAAAAAAATTTTATTGCTCTTGAAAATAATTGAATTTCTGCAATAATTTGCAACTTCTCCAAAATTCAATTTTTATAGTGTTTTTAACTAAAATTCTTCTATAAATCCATTATTTTGAATAATTTTTGGAAAAGTTCTTTGGAAATTTTCAAATATATATTTGAAAATTAAAACTACAAAAAAATAATTTCAAGTAAAATTTAAATAAACTTTCTCAAAAAAATTAATTCTTCTACAGAATTGTTAGTTAAAAGTATGAAAAATTAAGATTTTCAAAGATTATAATTTGAAACCTTTTTAAAATTCAATGATTTCTAAAAATTCAAGCAATAATGCTTCTAATATTCAGTTTTTATCTAAAATTTTACCTGGAAATTCATTTTTAAATCAATTTTCACTAAAAAATTCTACGATAATTTAATTATTTAAGTATAATACAATGAATAATTTATTAAATAATTGAATGTTTTTATAAAAATAAAATTCTCATAAAGAATGTTATCAACAAATTTTTAAATAATTGAATACTTTTGACGAATTTTAATATAATTTTTAAGAATAATTACATTTTTCGAGTAATTTAATTAAATTTGTATTACAATTAATTGAAATTCTGCGATGAGCTTTATTATTTATGAAAGTAATTGAAATTCTGGCAATTATTTACGAAAATAATTTAATATTTGAGTGGAATTTTATCAAACTTTTTTAAAAAGAATTGAATTCTTTTGGAAAATTTCATTAAAATAGTAGATTTTGAAAATCATTGAATTCAGGCAAATTTTTGAAATCAATTAAATTTTTACAAGTATTTTATTTAAAATTTTAAAAATTATTGAATTTTGGCGACGAATTTTGCTATTTATAAAAATAATTGAAATGTTGATGATAATAAAAAAATATTTTTTGAAAGTCATTGAATTTCGTCGAAAAGTTTTGCTATTTGTAAAAATAAATGAAATCTTGACGATAATTAAAAAGAATTTTTTGAAAATAATTGAATTTCGGCGATGGATTTTGCTATTTATAAAGATAATTGAAATCTTGACGATAATTAAAAAAATATTTTTGAAAATAATTGAATTTTGAAGAAGAATTTTGCTATTTATAAAGATAAATGAAATCTTGATGATAATTAAAAAAAATTTTTGAAAGTTATTAAATTTCGGCGAAAAGATTTGCTGTTTATAAAGATAATTGAAATTATGACGATAAATTTAAAAAAAAATTGAAAATAATTGAATTTTGAAGAAGAATTTTGCTATTTATAAAGATAAATGAAATCTTGATGATAATTAAAAAAAATTTTTGAAAGTTATTAAATTTCGGCGAAAAGATTTGCTGTTTATAAAGATAATTGAAATTATGACGATAAATTTAAAAAAAAATTGAAAATAATTAAATTTTGGCTAAGAAGTTTGCTATTTATAAAGATAATTGAAATTTTGACCACAATTTTTTAAAGTTTTTTGAAAATAATTGAATTCTTATTATGATTATTCTTTAGGCCTACTATTCCCACATAGCACAATAGTATGAGGTAAGGTTATGTTGAGTACTAATCGTAAGGCACATAAGGTTACACAATATTGCTGCGGTAGACCTGAGGTGAACTAAAAACTTCCGCCATGGAGGTAAGGTTACATGTTAGGGTGTGGTGAGTATATATGATAAGGCCATGGTAACCTTACACGTTAAGGTTAAGGTAACCTTACACGTTAAGGTTGATGTAACCTTACACGTTAAGGTTGAGGTAACGTTACATGTTAAGGTTGAGGTAAGGTTACATGTCAAGGTTGAGGTAAGGTAATTATTAAGTTGTAAGGTTGAGGTAAGGTTAAGGTAAGGTTGTGATAAATTTACCAGTTATGGAAAATATTGAAAAAATAATTAATAAATAAATATTCAATTAAAAAGTTAGTTTGTTGCTCCTCTCTATTTTGGAAACCTGACATGAAGCAGAAAATTTTGAAAACAAATTTGGGGGGACTGGGATTTGAACCCGGGATCGACGCGCATAAACCTATCATTCTAACTAACTGAGCTAAGTAGAGAACTGGTAGAAGGAAAATTAATATTGCCTTTAAGGAGTTAATCATCTTCTTGGTTCACCTTAAAGGCATCATTAATTTTCCTTCTGCCAGTTCTCTACTTAGCTCAGTTAGTTAGAATGATAGGTTTATGCGCGTCGATCCCGGGTTCGAATCCCATTCCCCCCAAATTTGTTTTCAAAATTTTCTGCTTCATGTCAGGTTTCCAAAATAGAGAAGAGCAACAAACTAACTTTTTAATTGAATATTTATTTATTAATTATTTTTTCAATATTTTCCATAACTGGTAAATTTATCACAACCTTACCTTAACCTTACCTCAACCTTACAACTTAATAATTACCTTACCTCAACCTTGACATGTAACCTTACCTCAACCTTAACATGTAACGTTACCTCAACCTTAACGTGTAAGGTTACCTTAACCTTAACGTGTAAGGTTACCATGGCCTTATCATATATACTCACCACACCCTAACATGTAACCTTACCTCCATGGCGGAAGTTTTTAGTTCACCTCAGGTCTACCGCAGCAATATTGTGTAACCTTATGTGCCTTACGATTAGTACTCAACATAACCTTACCTCATACTATGGTGCTATGTGGGTTGTTATTTATGAAAATAATTGAATTTTGCAAGGAATTTTATTAAAATTCAGATAAATAATTGAATTCTTGAGAAGAATTTTCTTTTTTAAGTAATAATTAAATTCCTTTGAAATATTTATTTCTGATGAATATAATTGAACATTTGCGTAGAATTTTATTGAAACTTTTTAGAAAAAATTGAATTCTTTTTAGAAGTATTATTGAAATATATATAGAAGATATAAAAAATCATTGAATTCAGGAAAATTTTTGAAAATAATTGAATTTTGGAGAAGAATTTTTTCAATTTTAAAAATAATTGAAGTTTTGCCAAGAATTTTTAAAAAATTTTTTTGAAAATAATTGAATTTTGGAGAAGAATTTTATTAATTTTAAAAATAATTGAAATTTTGACGAGAATTTAAATAAATTTTAGAACCCTAATTGAATTTCTGAGAAGAATTTTATTACTTTTAAAAATAATTGAATTTCTACAATTATTTCTAACTTTTTTAAAATTTCCAAAATTATATCGTACAATTTACAAACTTTTCGTCTTTTATCAATCAAATTACGGACTTTACGGACCTTTTTTTAAAAAAAACTGACTTTTACGTACTTCAAGCAAATTTACGGACCTAGTTCGAGCCCTGCTGCCTTTATCCCCACTCCAAGAGACAGAGGTTTAAATATAAAATATTTGCTATTTTAAATACAAACTTTAAATATTCGCCATGTTTCAAAAAACCTGCAAATATTCAAATATTCAAATAAGAATTTAATTTTCATTGTATATTTGAAACGCAGGGTGAAAATTTTCAATTCCGAACGATTAAATATTTATGGGAAAACTTGTTGGGCTTTTACAGACAACGTGCCTAACAGAACTGCCGGATGTGGCGCCGTGCAATGGAACTGTGCGGCTTCCACCAACATGCGAGGAATCTCCTAGTAGCGGAAGTAGCAAGGAACGCAGAGATGAGAGTCCTCGGCGGAAATGTCGAGTTCTAGCACCTATCTTGCTTTTGGTGGCAGCCCTGCTCCTCGGAGGCCTCTGTCTGCCATTGTTACTACAATCCTCCCCTGTCACGCACCAACAACGATTGGACGTGATTAGAAGGATTCTTACTGAAGTGCCTCTGATCGACGGGTAAATATTTACAAATTTCATCAAAGAAAAAAAAATATTCCTCTCCGATGGGAGAGAAATTCAATAAAATAATTAAATTATTTTCTAACTATTTATTTTAATATTTTAATGAATTTATTAAAATATTATTTCCTTCCTTTGAATTTGGCGCCAAAATAGGTTGTTTGAATTGCCGCCTAGATGGCATGAAACTTCTCTCATAAACGAAGTGAATTGAATCTAATTTTCAAACTCAGCTCTCGACTAAAAGTAAATTACCTTTTTTCAGGCACAATGATTTGCCCTGGAATGTCAGAAAGTTCGTTCATAATCAATTGGGTGAAGTAAATCTGAGCAGTGACTTGGGAAGAGTTGATCCTTGGGCCAGATCAGACTGGAGTCACACTGATATACCAAGGTTACGAGCTGGATTAGTCGGAGCGCAGGTAACTTTTACAAAATTTATCTCCAACCACTTTCAAACTTTTCCAACTACTCTACTTCCAATATGTGGTAATCTTGCAAATCAAAAAAATAATCCTCTATATCAATTTTGGTAAAAGGAGAAAGTTTCAAAAAAACAGATTTAAAAAGATTAAAAATAAGAAACGTATTTAGAAAGGTTAGAATAGTGTTAGAAAGTGTGTTAAAAATAGTGAAATACTAGGTTAATATAAGTTCAGGGCTCGAACCAGTGAAAGTATTTAAAATTACGGACTTTACGAACCAAAAATGAAAAATTACGGACCATTTACGGACCACAAAAAAATATAACCAGTCTGAGTCAAATAAGAGAACATTTTACTTAAAACTAAAAATTAAATTTTTCATAACTATAAAACATGAAGATATCGATAACTAAGAGTCTTCGACTCCAAGTGACCGATTTCTTCGTGTTTTATAATAATTAAAGATGATAGAGTGATAAAATCATTTACAATTCAATTATTATTTACAAGAATTTTTAACTAAAATATTCTTCTTTAAATCGATTATTTATAATAATTTTCGAAAAAGTTCTTTGACAATTTTCAAATCCATTTGATTATGATTCAATTTTTCGAAATTTCAATTATTCGTAAATTCTTCAATAAAATAAATATTAAAAAATAAAAACTTTAAGTAATTAAAAAAAAATCCGCAATTTAACTTTAAAAAAAAAAATTTTTAATTCAATTATTTTTAAAAATTCACGCTATACTGCTTTTAATATTCAATTATTATATAAAATTTTGACTCTAATTAATTTTTAAATAAATTTTTATTAGAAAATTCTACGAGAATTCAATTATTTAAATACATTTAAATAAGTAATTTACTGAACAATTGAATGTTTCTTAAAAATCAATTCCCATAAAGAATTTTGTCAACAAATTTTTAAATAATTGATTTCTTTCGACAAATTTTAATAAATTTTGTAAAAATAATTACATTTTTCGAGAAATTTGATTAAAATTGTATTAAAAATAATTGAAATTCTGAGATAAGTTTTATTATTTATAAAAATAATTCAATTAAATATATATTAAAAAATAAAAACATAAAAAGAAAATTTAAAGAAAAATTTAAATGAACTTTATCAAAAAGATTAATTAAAAAAAAAAAAAAAAAATTAAAAAAAAAAAAATAAATAAAAAAATAAAAAAAAAAATAAAAAAAAAAATTTTGAAATAACATTAAATATATGTTACATAATTCAACTAATTTTAGCAGAATTGAAATTAAAATTGTTCAAATCAATTAGTTCTAAAAAATTATTAATTACAAGTATTTTTTGAAAATTTATATTTTCAAAAGATATTAATTTGAAACCTTTTCAAAATTTAATTATTTCTAAAAATTAATCCTACAATACTTGTAATATTCAAATATTATCTAAAGTTTTAAATGAAATTCACTTTTAAGTCAATTTTAACTACAAAATTCAACGAGAATTGAATTATTTAAATACAAAAAAAAATAATTTGTTGAATAATTGAATGTTTTTAAAAATTTAATACTCATAAAGAATTTTATCAAAAATTGTTTAAATAATGGAAATATTTTGTCGAATTTTGATTAAAAGTAATTGAAATTATGCCATGAGTTATATTATTGATGAAAATAATTTAATGTTTGCGTAAAATTTTATCAAAATTTTTTGAAAATAATTGAATTTTTATTATGAATATTGTTATTTATGAAAATAATTGAATTTTGTTAAGAATTTTATTAAAAATCCTTTAAATAATTGAATTCTTAGGAAGAATTTTCTTTTTTAAATAATAATTAAGTTCCTTTCTTTATTATTGATGAAAATAATTGAATGTTTGCGTATAATTTTATCAAAAAATTTTTTTAAACAATTGAATTCTTTTGGAAAATTTTATTAAAATAGTAGATATTGAAAATCATTGAATTGAGGAAAATTTTTGAAAATAATTGAAATTTTGCGAAAAATTTTTAAAAAATTTTTTAAAATAATTGAATTTCCGAGAAGAATTTAATTATTTCTAAAGATAATGGAAATTTTGACGAAAATTTAAAAAATTTTTTGAAAATAATTGAATTTCTGTAAGTTTAAAGGTCAAAATCGTTTCTCCAGAAAAAGTAAATAATTACTTAATCAATTACATTGGAAAAGCCACCGAATTTTTCAGTTATAACCTGTCAATTTGTAACAGTACCGCCAAGTCCTATTTTCCACAAAAGTCGATCGCAGAATCCGAGAATTCTAACAGGGCACTGATCAAAGCCTGCAGCATCACAAAGGATAATGTGCAATGTACAATACTCTTCAAAGAGACGATAGTTGATAGTATTTGACAGCCTGGGGACTTGTTTGTGGACACTCCTTTAAAGATAAATTTCAACTTACAATATAGAACACGATGCAAAATATATTCAACCTTGCATCGTAAATAACTCACGAGAAGATTTACAACCGTATACCCTAATTGCCCTAATTGGTGCACGCCTTGATGATCTACACTAATTGCCGAACTACAGATATACCAACCTTACACCCAATTCAATAATTATAAATCGATCCAACTTTCCTAATCTTTAAACATTGAGAATGATTCTCAATTGAGAATCAATATCCTCAATGTTTAAAAATTATGATTATATGTTTAAAGATTCTCAATTTAGAATCAGTATCCTCACTGTTTAAAGTTTACGAGAGTTACCTTTTTAAGAACCCAGTTTTCAAATTGTCCCCGAGCATATCCGATCAAGCTGAAGAAATAGCCCACAGCTCTCAACAAAAGCCCAGACGATAATTATGGAACTAGTTCAGGTGAAAGCAAAGTTTCTGTTATTGCTGTTCGGCAACATTGACTGTCAAAATCTTGAATTGGTCTATTTCAAAGTCTAAATAGTTGAAACGGTCCCAAAGCGACTTGTCCAAGTATCCGCACCAAGTTCTCGGGCAGATATGAACCTTACACCCCACATACACATACAGAATACATAATGACATGGACTTTAGCTCGCTTTAGCTCGCTTTAGCTTGCTTTAGCCTAATCTCTAAAGCGAAGAGTATCCCTAATGGTTTCATAGTCACGTGGTTGACATAGTCACATCGAACATTGCTCTTTGAAAATTCAAACATATAAACCAGGAACTGCGAGTCATTCAACCGCACATAATATAATCTCAAAGATTTTCAATTGATTCCTTTCAATATGATTTACTTACACGATATCTAAATGGAGCCATTGAAGGATGTGCTTCAGCTTCACGTGCACTTGGCATTAAAATCGATAATCGCGAATTGAACTTTACACGAAATTCATCATCCAGACAGTATCAGGGTTGCCACAAAAATTTTATTGATTTCTAGACAAAATTTTCGCATTTTTTTCCTCTGACCCTTAAAGAATATTCTGATTCCCTCTATAAATTATTAGATACTCAAAAAAAAAACTCAAAAAAAACATGAAGATATCGATAACTTCGAGTCTTCGACTTAGTGCTCGATTTCTTCATGATTTATAATAATTAAAGATGGCCCAGTAATAAAATCATTACTTTATATTATTACAATATTGTTACTGTAAATTATTTAAAATTATTTTTATTATTAAAATGAAAATAATTCAAAATACATTATTTGTATTTTGAATAAATAAATAAATAATTATTTGTATTTTGAATAAATAAATAAATAATTATTTCAATTCAATTACTATTTTCAAGAATTTTCAACTAAAATTCTACTTTAACTCAATTATTTTTAATAATATTCGAAAAAGTTCTTTGACAATTTTCAGATCCAGTTGTTTACAATATTCAATGTTACGAACTTTCAATTAATCGTAAATTCTTCAATTAAATAAATATTAGATAATAAAAACTTCAAATAATATTTAAAAAAAGTCAATTAAACTTTTTTAAAAAAGTTAATTTCAAAATTCAATTATTTCTAAAAGTTCAAGCTATATTGCTTTTAATATTCAATTATTTTCTAAAATTTTAACTGAAATTCTTTAAATCAATTTTTATTAGAAAATTCTACAAGAATTCAATTATTTAACTACAAAAATAATTTATTGAATAATTGAGGCTCCGGATCTCAAAAGGTGAATTTTACCATTTAAAAATTTAAAATCAATGCTGAAAGTGCCCTTTTAAGATCCGGAGCCTCAATTGAATGTTTCTTAAAATTGAATTCTCGTAAAGAATTTTATCAACAAATTTTTAAATAATTGAATTCTTTTGACGAATTTTAAGCAAATTTTTTAGAATAACATTTTAATAACATTTTGAGAGAAATTCAATTAAAAATATATATAAAAATAATTGAAATTCTGCGATGAATTTTATTATTTGAGAAAATAATTGAATCCCTAAGAAAAATTTTATTATTGTTAAACATAATTAAATTTCTGCTAAGAATTTTATTGCTCTTGAAAATAATTGAATTTCAGCAATAATTTAAAACTTCTCCAAAATTTCAATTTTTTAAGTGATAAAAAATTCTTCTATAAATCCATTATATTTTTAATAATTTTTGAAAAAGTTCTTTGGGAATTTTCAAATTTATTTGTTTACCTATTAATTTTACAAAATTTCCATTCTTCGGAAATTCTTCAATTAAATATATTAGAACATAAAAACATCAAAAAAATAATTTCATATAAAATTTAAATAAACTGTTTAAAAAAAATTAATTCTTCTACTAAATTGTTAGTTAAAAGTATAAGAAATTAAAATTTTCAAAGATTTTAATATGAAACTTTTTCAAAATTCAATTATTTCTAAATATTTTCGCTGTAATGCTTTTAATATTCAATTGTAATCTAAAATTTTAACTGAAATTCATTTTTATGAAATGAAAATCAATTTTTATTAGAAAATTCTACGAGAATTCAATTATCTAAATACAAAAATAATTTATTGAATAATTGAATTTTTCTTACAATTCATTTTCATAAAGAATTTTATTAACAAATTTTTAAAT